CTCTACGGAATGTTAGGTGTAGTGGAATACTTGAAGTGAAGTTGGCTTTTATTCTTGAACTGTTAGGGGCCTTCTAGTTCATATGGTCATGCGGTTTCATTGACAACAAATAATGCAAATGACATAGCAATGGGACATTTCCAAAAAGTAAAAATACTGTAAATTGGCTATTACGTGTGTATTGACGTTTACATATTGTTAATCAACGTATCTTATAAAGGATTATGTGATCTAGTTTAAAAGGAATATGGCCTTTCTGTCATGAGAGTAGCTGCTTAAATAGTATTTTCTCTTTGTGCCATATTTTACAGCCAAAACGTCGTGTTATTTTCAATAATGTTACCAAACCAGTGTGCCAAAGTCCGTAACAAAGGCAGGTGCAAATATTTTTTCAAGATGGGTACCATTTTAGGCAAGGTTTCTATGTTTGGATTTTATTAGACACGATAAGAGCAGATATTTCCACATAAATATTTGATATGTGTAGAATAATATGATAAAATGTAATGTAGGCAAAAATAGTGAAAAAGCAGACACCTACCCGTACAATAGATATAAGATAGTTCAATAAGAAATAATTTAAGAATTGCTGTGATAAAAGGATTTTCCACTGATTTCGTAATGGAACGTTGCAAAACATGACATGATAAAGAAGAAAATCAATTTTTGTTTAATCAGAAAATAACATTGCAAATACTTATTTGGCAGAATTCAGTAACTCCCAAATGTGTGTTGTTTGAAATACAATTTAAAAATGAACAGCTGTTTCATTAAAAAGTATTATTCACATGGCCAAAATGTAAACAACTCTGTGGAGGGATCTTTAAAGGCTTCTGGGGCAGAGTCCTAAGGGATTTTGCTTAGTTTTTCTTTTGATAACTCATCTACAGACCAAGACCTTTGGACCTTTCTTTGGACACCTCTACCAAGTTTCTACGCCGAGCCGTTCTCTCAAATTAGTGGGGACAAAGTTTCCAATTAAATATTTAGATTCACCCATGTTAATCTTATGGGAGAAACTCCAACATTGATGGCCTGTGGGGAAAAGCCCGGGGACTTTTACTACAGGTATTGGTGAACGGGGTGTCTACACAAAAAATACTTTATTTTGACACGTCGTTTGTAAAAATCCGTCCATTATTAACGGAGGAGTAGTGTTTCGTAGAAATTGCCTTCACGTATTATACATATAAGGAGACTATTATAAAGAAGAGGTTTTGTCTGTGTGTTTGTATGAGATAATCTCAAAAACTACTGAACCGACTGAGCTCAAATTGCACACAACTGTAGCTACAGCTCCGAGGATACATATAGAACTATTCCCGCTTCGATATTGTCCTAGGGCTCTACCCCGTGGGCTTTCAAAAATTTGAGGTGAGAGATTTAAAAGTAAATATTGATTGATGGTATCCATGGTAACAAAGAACAAACCTACAAAGCTAAAAAATATAAACAAGCAGAACTAACAAACTGTCAAATGAATTTTGATTTCACAATGCCACACAGCTGGTTCAAACAAATTAAATACTGCACGAATGTTAGAACAGAGAGGGTAAGGATTATAAATTTAAAATAATGATGTCACTAGCCCTATTGTAAACATTATTTAACATTACTTAAATGGAGCTGTCAAACAATAATATGTTAATGTGATTTCATAAGTATATGATTCTTTCAGTTACTTCATTTGTTTATGTTTATGATCTATTATACTGAGTCTGTTCTAATATTTGTGAAATGCTGTAATAATGTTTTACTGGGAAAAATTTGTTGTAAAAAAATCATTTATAGATACCGGTATAGGAACTAATTAATATTCTATAATCATTGCCATATCAACCTAGGCCCTTATCGTGAGTTTTATGAGGTTTATTTCTTTGAATTGTTTTTGTGTAAACCAGTAATATATAATCCCCCTGCCGCAGCAAATCTATAGACTGAGCGAATTTCCATTTGCCTGATTATAATTTCACAAAAATATGTTAGAAAATTACCCATAATTTTCCATATTTATTTATATTTTCCCTTTTTTCTATTTTTTGGTTTGGAACTATTGTGATAGCTTTTCGTTTAAAGTGCAAACCATTAAACACATTCTTTTATTATACCTTTAAATCCATCATTGGTTTTGTATCGTAGGTAGGCCGAGCCTAAATAAGTATTAACAGTATGAGTTAACAAAAACGTACTATTATCAAGTTAAGTAATACAGTTAAATTTTGTTTCTAAATTAAATGGTAGGAGTAAAACCATTTGGCATTTTCAAAGAACCTATGTGTATCTTTTGCATACTGACCCCGTTGCAAGGCACGGGTATAGCTGCTAGCAAATACGAATAGTAGCGCTGATTTGCAGTAGTAGTTCAATAAAATAACAAGCGACCGGCTGACCGGCACAACTAATTGTGACCAACGGGATTGATTTATTTAGTTTGTATGCATTAGAAATCATGTACTACCACAAAGTCTTCTTTCTACATAAATTACAATTCCATAATACCCCCACCGCAGCAAACCTGCAGCCAAAGCAAATTTCCATTGGTGTGGCTTTATTTTCAATTCAATCTAATTCAATAACGTTAGGTTTAACGAGTGCCTAGGTTTGCTGCCTACAGGGAGGGTAACGAAGTGTGATTTTTAGAAAAATATTATTAGCTTAGTATGAAATAAATAAATTTGCCAAGTTTAAAGAAAATCTATTCATAAACGAGCAATATTACAACAGTTTACTTATCCGACTTAATATTATAAGTAAGAAAGTTTGGATGTATATGGATATATGGATGGATGGATGGATGGATGGATGTTTTTGACAAGTAAACGCGAAGAATACTAAACCGACAAGGTTGAAATTTGGTATGACGATAGCTGACATTCCCGATTAACATATAGACATGTTCTTACCTCAAAAATCCTTTCAGGCTCCACCCCAGTGGCTCTGGCCATGGAGTGTCTCATGTTAACCTTATGAGTATTCATATTTAAAGAAATTAAAGAATTTTGTCAGCCTTTTCAACTGCACAAGTTGGTTCTATGATATTAAATAGCATTAAAAAGTTATAAGGCTTGCCAATAGGGTACAGCACTATTATATTTTTTGCATTTATGACCACAGCTAATTTGAACCAACTAGCAACAAAAAGTTGTGGCACACAATGAGAACTTTACTTTTTTCCATGGTTTAGGTGCAGTGGTAGAACATTAGGGCTATGGTAGATGTGTGTTACACTATAGGATACCGTATAAATTAAAAGACCAAATTGTCTTAAACCGCGTCTTCTCCCATAACTGCAATAAACATTTATACTTATATGCAAACCCCGTACGAAGGACGGGTACTCTGCTAGTTATAGATAAAACATAGTCTCTTAGCTATTAACCTACAAAATCAGAGCTATATTGCTTCGGTAGTTTAGGTGTGGTTGAAAGAACTGGGCGCTGGGAGGCAAAACGCGATAATTCCTCGGACGATTCGGTAACGGGGATATTCCCCCGAGCCGGGTAGATGCAGGGAGACGTCCGCTCAATTACCCACCCGAACCAGTTTTGTCCGGCTCACGCACTGTCCGCCTCACGCACGTCCGGGGGAAACACGGCACCGTTCTTGCAAGGCTCACGGGACGCTCCGTGACGTCATATTGATGTCACGTTTCCCATATTCCAGTTTCAGCTTTCAAGATTACCACAAACTATCGGCACTGTCTATGACAGTGTCGTAGTTGTCGTCTGCTTCTGCAACTGTCAAAGTTTATTCTATCAAACTGATTATTCTAACCTGGGGCCCATTTCATAATAAAGTACAAACTAATATTATTAGTAAATCAGCTGATCGCCCAATGCAAATCTAATGAAAATTACAAGTTACAAGTTGTAACTTGTAACTTGTAGTTTATTATGAAATGGGCCCCTGGACAGTATTAGCATTATTGCCTTTTCAGATAACATAGTGTTACTAGAGAACCCGTATTTTGAGTGCTTAGTTACTGGACTATGGAAATATTGATTCCGCTAAAAATGTACAGATATAGATTTTTAATTAATATCGTTTTGGTTTTCAATTCTGTATGTTTTATATTCAAAATTTTAATAAATTTATGATCATTAATTTAAATTTAAATAACTAAAGTGCAAATTAATGAGCTGATGTCACTTGTCTGCCATGTTATCTTGTGGGATGTCTGACACCAAACAACCCTACTTGCGACGTTGCCAATTCTACCAGGCCGCGGCCTGGGGCCCATTTCATAACCAGATCCACTAAATTGGACAATGAATATAAATGGAAAGTGTGAACGTCATGAAATCGTTCCTCTGAAATCGAAGGAGTAGACGTCATCGCGCGTCCCGTGAGCCTTTCATGAAATGAATGGACCCCGAGCGACCCATGACACTGTGACAGACAGTGCAGATGATCTGAAGTAATCGTTGAAAGATGGAATTATGAGAAACGTGTCATTACTATGACCACTGAGCTATAATTCTATCTGGAGGTAGCACTGACACTGAATGTCAAAGATGCGTGTCGCCAGCCGCCATGTTTGCGTGAGGTGTGAGTTATAAGGAAGCCATGTTATTGGATAAAAATACTCACTGCTATACCAACCTAGTTATAGAAGCCATGTTATTGCTTTGATAAGAAAACTCGCTGCTATACCAACCTAACAAAATCAGCGACACGCTTTTGACAGACTTCTGCCATGGCAGCGTCATGAAGCGTCCCATGAGCCTTGCGGGAACTCGCCCCATACAAATAGGATAAGATGGCATAATTTATAATTGCGAATGTTCATAAATGAATAGGGAATACAATATTATGGGATTTGGGAAGGAAATGGTATTGAATGGAATGGATCATTGTATTGTATAAAAAACAGAAAGAAAAGAAGCGACAATTGAAATCGAATTGAGCCAATTCGATCGAGCGAGCCGCGAACCTCTGCCCGGGCCTGCCCCTGCACCCCTACCCCATTATTTCATTTCCTAATTCCTATTGGCAACAAGTAAATAAAGAATTTTGTAGCATAGTAAAATAGTAACATAACATAACAAACAAACAAATAATTAATTCATAATAATGTAGTTGGTCACACACGTACTTTCCAGCAATAACAAAGAGTGGAATTTGTAAATTAGACTATGTGTTTTTACCTGGTATTATTCTCTTATGGATGAATTGAATAAGTGAGTACTGAGTACTTAGATTACTACTTAGTACTTAGAACCAAGGAAGGCCTAGCCTATGCACGTCACGCCTAAATAACTTAGCATGATTATTAGCATATTTCATTTTACTAAGTTGCCTTTTATTTAAATATTATTAATAGCCTTTACTAAAACTTTTACACGCCTGTGTTAGGAGTTTTAAAACTAGACTGAGGACAGGTGATTTTTTAATGGACCTTCAGAGTAAGCTTAGGCCTAGTTCAAATTTATTACCATTTCATTGATAAGGGACACATTGCTGTGAATTTACTGAAGTAGGCCTAGCCATGAGTGTTAAATTACCAGGATCTTACCCATAGGACTACAAAAGATGTTTTTAGACTAAGATGCTAGGGCCTGTTACCCTAGGCTCAGGCCTAGGCTATATTCGGTTTCCCCATTAGAAATTAGGCTAATAGGCCTAAACTCTTATTTTATAAAATATTATTTTTTGCTGCCTTAAAAAATATGTAGATGATACGTGTCCGGTAACTGGACGTGGTTTAAGCGTTACTGTCATAACCTAACCTAATCAACAAAACTTGCTGATAATGAAACAATCGAATGAAAGTTTAAATTCTGTTCATAAATAAAATAAAATTACAAATGACGAAAATTCTTACCAAAGATGTAGGCCTACGGTTAAGAGGAAGTGGCATTCAAAGCGAAATCTTTGACAAAAAGTTAAAATAGGCCTAGTTGATGGGATTCAAACCACGGATCTCTTGCATATCAGCCAAGCACTCTATCCACTACACCACGAACACCGATGGCTGTACATCAAATTGTTGTGGTAATGGCGTTCCGGGTCCCCACAACCCGGTGACGTCACTGCTGGACGCCTAATCCAGGTCCGGTTACCATATCCTTTGTGTAAAGAATATACTAAACTCTGTGATCCAGTCACGGTATTTAGAAAATAGTAATCTTACATGGCTAATCTCCGGTATGTAGGCCTAGTTTAAAAAATTATAATTTCAATATCCGGCTTAAAATAGGATTATAACAAAACAGTCACACATATTAATTCTAAATCTGTTGTCTATGTAATATAAAAATATAAAAACAAAAGCTTAGCCTATTCCATTTACCCCTCTCATAGTTTGAGTCATTAAGAACCTTAAAAAAAACGACTGTTTCAAGAAACGTCAACATTCAAACTGATAACTTAAATGAACCAGACGACTTGGCATCAAAGACATTTAAAATAAACTCCAAAAGTTGAATTTAGCCTACTTCTTGTTTGAAGCTCTTACGTCTATGAACAGCAATATTATTGTTATTGGCGAGAAAAAACAAGAATCACAAAATTTGCTGTAGTCACGGTATATGGGTTGTTTAGGCTAAGTATCTTAGTTAAGATCCAAGCTTAAACTTTACCACACTGATTCAAATCCCGAATAATAGTAACAGTTCCACATCACAGACACATGGGATTTTTATCCATACGTCCAAAACAATAATCCTGCTCACTGGCCGAGAAAAGGAAAAGAAAGGAGTGTGTTTCAGTGATTTGTTGAAATCAAAGTAGCCAATCTTGAAAGTTGTGTTTAGGGTAATGTTGGCCAAACCCTTTACAATAAAGGTTGTATTTCAGTTGATTTCGAATATTTTCATTTCAAATTATATATTTAACAAAATAAAAAAAACTTTTAGAACATTTTAACTTGATCTGGTTTGTAAAATTAAGTACTAATGTCTTTCTTTGTGTGTTCCAGGATTAGGCCTACCATGAGCATATTTCCGCTGATCCTTGTAATGTCATAATGACATTAGAAGCTGAAGGAGTTGGTCGTTATTATTTATGACATGGGAATTTGTAGTCTTCGGACCTTTTTCCTGACAAACTGTGTGGTCCAGTTGGTAAGTAAAGTCAGCTTATTTTGTTCCAAGACCAGGTCCTACTCATGATTAGTAAAACTTTCTAACTTTTATTTAGCGTATCACTTTTTGATCAGCATTGTACCGGTACGTGTTTTTAAATTTAAGGAAAGTAAATAAAAGAAATGTCTTATAACACTTAAAACATATATTTACGCTTATACTGTTACTCACAAGACGGTAAGTATACAAAAAAGATGGTAAGTGGTGATCGATTCCGATTGGAGTCGAAATCGATCACCACTTACCATCTTTTGGTATATTTACCGTATAAATTCCCTTCAATAATATACATGACGGTACTAGTTTACCTTCCTCCATTCAGATTTTAAAACAAATTATTCATTTGTATAAAAAATTAAAATTAAATAATAAAAAAATAAAATCTAACGTTTAGCAAGGGTAGGCCTATGTAAAGTCTTCGGACAGCTGACTACTGAATATTTCAATTTATCTCCTTACCCAGTCAACTAATTGGTTGAAACGTTCAAAGTGGATAAAGTGAGTACTAGGTGTCTAAAAATAGCAAATACGCCCATTATTGAAAATATATAGCCTACTTGTGGGCTGCCTAACCAGCTTTCTCACACTATTAAAAAAACCTACTTTACTATTAAATACCCCCGCCACAGCAAACCTGCAGACTAAGCGAATTTCCATTTGACTGATTGGATTTACACTGAAATGTCTACTTAAAAATATAACATTTATTCTTGATTTAAATAGAATTAGTTTAACAAGTACTTAGGTTTGCTGCATCAGGGAGGGTAAAACTGTTTTTTTTTTTGTAAAATGTGAATTGTTAGTAAGAAATAAAAACATTTTCCAAATTTGATCAAAATATGTTCACAAACAAACAAACTACAACAGTTTAGGCTACTTATTCTCCATAAGAATAACATGGGAATTTTAAATTTACAATTTTTTGGAATTTTCTCCGTAACAATTAGGCGCATAATAACGCTTCAATATACTAAGTTATTTTTTTTTTTAAGCTCTACAAAATGGTTTGGAAAGAAATTGCTAAATTTTATGTTTTTTGGGTGAAAAATGGGAAAAACCTATTTTTACCCCATAAAATCCCCCGTAAACCCCCGTTCCCATGGTCCGATCATGCTGGATCGCGAACTCGTTCGAATAAACGTACGTTTACGTGTTTGTACCAAATTTCATCAAAATCGGATCATTTTTGCTCGAGTTATCGTGCTGACGGACACATATATAAATATATAAATATATATATATATGAATTTGAACGGATGGTGTTTTTGGCCTCTAGGGACCTCAAAACGAAAAAAAAAATCGGTCCCGCGTCCAGGTCTTACCATGAGTACTACGGTAATAGCTTATTCCCTATAATGGGAAATTCGCTAAAAGCTATTAAGAAATTTTGTAAGCGTAAATTGAAGCAATTGTTGTTGTCACCTAATGGTATCAGAAATAATTCCAAAAATATTCTAAATTTTGAATTCTTATTTTATTCTTAGGGGAAATAAATAAACTCTTGTAGTTTGCTTGTTTAGTGATATATTTTGATAACACTTGGAAAATTTGTTTAGGCTATTTCAAACTTTGCTAGTATATTAACATTTAAATTAAAAATGTGCGTTATTACCTGCCCTGTAGCAGCAAAATAAATTACTCTTAAAATCAATGTTTTAATGGTTCTTAATATTTTCTTGTAATGGTATTTTGTAATGGAAAAAAACTGTTCTGTTGCAGATTCTAACAGCTTGCCGTCAGGTTTTCGACTTCCTTGGGTACATGTGGGGACCAATTTTCTCAAACTTTTTCCAAATAATATTTACAATTTTTGGGTTTTTTGGGGTTTATCAATATCGTCCTAAATACATTATCGTGGTAAGTTTTGGTTTATTTAATTTGTAATACAATTTTATTGCAAAAAGTAGGCTACATAGTTATTGTATAAAAAGGACGAGATCCAAAGGGTTGAACAAGGTAGACTTAAATAAACAAGCAGTATTATACAAGTTGTGCCCCAGATACTGTCTAGTTTATATTGTGACACAGTTTTAATAGAAAATCTTAATGTGCAGTGATATACTGTATGTTGTTTTAAGCATACGTTTTTCTTTTTATGCAAAAGTTCACTGAATCTCGTATACCCACAGTAAAAATCATTTGTATTAACCTGCAATGGTCACTTGTGTTACTGCCTAGTAGTCAGTTTTGGGGTCCTAAATTAGGTAGGCTACCGTTATATAATAGAATGTGAAATTGTCTTTCAACACTCCTTCTGTTTTTATTAATGTTTATGTATGTTTAGTTTATTTACTGTTCACAAGACCAGCTATTGTTTATTTTATTATGTTACCCTTATTTTATTTGGTATGCAATTTTAATTTTCCTTTCTTAACTTTGTTTTAGTATTCAGTTTGGTGTGTATTTTGGTGCAGTTGGAATATTTTCGTTGTCTGTTTCTATTTGAATCTGTTCGGACTGGATAAGGTAATAAATTGGATAATTAGTAAGATTAGTTAATTTATATTATTTTATGTGTTTTTTTTAAACCTAATGTGATAATTTTTATATTTGACTTAAAAACATTGCACTATACACACTAATCAGATTATTTTTCTGTAACGGACATAAAACCAAGAAAGATTCAAGTTGGTAGACTTACCTAAATGATAAAGAGTTTGTCCTGCGAGAAGAATTACAAAAACATACCAAATAATTAGAATATTTTTGTGTCAATGAAAGTAATTACTGACTTTCACTTTCAACCACGTAAGGTTTGAGTTGGGAAGAAACGTGTTTTTACGTCCAATCTCAACCAAAACCTATCTCAAACAAAAGTCCTTTAGCCAGCTACCTGAAAAACTTAAGAGCTTAAAATCATGGCTTAGTGGTTTTGTCATATCATTAACCTTATAATAGACTCATAGATCCAGTCCACCAAGGCCTTACTCCAGAACCGATTAAATAGTCTACCAACATTAGATTTGAACACAGAGACACATACACTTTTTCATTTCAATATTAAATTCAACAGAGAAACCCTACAACCATTTTATTTTTATAATTTCATTGATCCCAAATTGAAAAAGCTAAATTAAAATGTAGCATCTGTCAATCATTTTTGTGTGTTTCCATATAAGTTATTGTTACCATCCTTTATCTCCCCAGTTTCCATACATTGTGATGTTTTCTGAGTAGTGAGGAAATGTATGATCTGTGTCTGCAGGACAGTGATCTGCTGAGTCTAGGCACGGGCAGTGTCAGTTGGTGGGAGACGGGTGGTCCAGGCTGTAAGCCTGTGTTCCTGGCCAACCAATCACTGGAGGGGGAGCCGTGGCGACCGCTGCGGCCAGACTTTGTCACTGACTGTCTGTTGCGTTACGATCACCTGGAGGCCGGCCAAGCCATCCTACATCTCCTCACTTCGGTTAGTAGACTGGGCGTATCTTGAGTGTCAAACAGATTATTGCAGTCTTTTTCCATCACGATTAGTAAAAACCAAGTTTTAACAATGTTTTAGGCCCAATTCACACCGAACGGACGTCGGGCGGAGACGTGGCACGGACGTGGCGAGGACATATGTCCGTTCCTCGCCTCCCCATGTAAACAAATTGGTCAATGCACACACAAGTGACGTGGCGCGGGCGGCCGCCCTCCCGCCACCGCCACGTCGCTTTGGCGTCCCTCGTGGCGTATCGGAAGTGGCATGTCCGTAGCGCGCCCGTTGTTCGGACTGCAAATATTGTACTGTACTTACCAACCTTCTTGTGTATAGTGTGCTTGTACTTACCAACCTTGTTGTGTAGAGTTGTTTTTGTGTGTAGATTGTGAGTTGTTTCTTCACTATGCGAGACGACATTGAATTTAATATCAAATTTTGTGAGGAAGTAGAACAATTCCCTTGTTTGTACTAATTAAGTTGACAGAAATTAACTAACACCATTGACATTAATAGAAATAAGCAAAAACCAAAGCTTCTAGTCTACATACAGGTTGTCTCGCCACTGTACCGTCCCTTCACCGTCCCTTCGGTGTGCATTGAACACGCCACGTCACTGCCACGTCTGTGCCTCGTCCGTGCCACGTCTCCGCCCGACGTCCGTTCGGTGTGAATTGGGCCTTAGGATCAGCACTGGTGATGTTTTAGCGCCAGGTGAAAAGTTATCAAATCATTACAAGAAAAGTACACAAACTGAGCCGAAAAACCATTCTGAAAATAGTACAGTAGGGTTAAGATTCCATGAACCAAAAAGTTGTGAAAATTTAGTTTTTTACTAATCGTGATAGAAAATGTCTGTAATAATCTGTTAGATTTTAATGCTTTGGCGCTTACAAAATAAGTCAATTTTTGCATATCAGTTGGTTGAAGGTATACTACAGTAGTAACAGTATTATGCTTGAGAAGCTCAGATAAAGTTCCCTTTAGTAAACTTTGCTTCGTGGTTACACCTAGAGAACAAATTTAAAACTACAATAGTACCAATGAGGAAGGAAGAAAGGAGGGCCATGTACTTGCCATGTGGGGTTTGGAGACAGTTAACTTTTATGATACAATTCACCACTGTTCGTTGTCGAGTTCGACTGACCAACTGAGCGCAAATGGTTAGGTTTTGTCTGTGTTGTGTTTGATTTAATGTGTGATTACTGATTATGTGTATTAGGAAGAGTAATCTAGAGCAAAGTGTTTTATTTCTGTTGGATATGTTGATATAAAAAATACTATGCAGTTATTGACATAAACAGCTTGGACTTATATCTGCTGTCTTTGTCACTCACAATGAATTTGTATTTTATCTCGTTAGCTATCACTACATGCTGTAGACTAAATTGAATTTTAATACTAGGTGGCGTTTGCATAGGCATCCACAAAATTGAGCGGAGTCATCAGGGGTTCATACTATATTGGTTTTGTCATACTGCAGTAAAAACAGTCGTTTTTAATGCATGCGTTGCGGGCCTAAAGTAGCATTTTTACTCTTTAGGGAGTAAAGATCGTTTTTAGCCTCTATGGAGTAAAAATCAATTGTTGACAACTCAGTTGTAAATTTCTATTGTAAACGATTGCATGTATCGAAATATGTATCGATTTGTGCTTTGTAATCATTTTAACCTACAGTCTACAGTCCCTTCCCATAGCATTTTAGCATTGCAGAAACATTAATCCATTCCCACACTCAACACTGCTCACCTTTACTACTTCCTTCATCACCCCCTACGTCGTGGACCTGTTTCCCTCTCTTCCCATAGCATTTTAGGATTGCAGATACATTAATGTAATTGCCAAAGGCAGTTCCCACACTCTGCACTGCAAGCCTTACTACTTCCTTCACCATTTCCTACGCCATAGACCTGTTTCCTTCCCTTCTCGTAGCATTTAAGTATTAGAATTGACTATATATTGGTATATTGACTATATAATGGTATTAGATACATTTATCTAACTGCCCAAACGGTTCCCCCACTCTCCACTGCCAGCCTTTAAAACTTCCTTCACCACTTCCTACGTCGTAGGGCCTGTTTCCTTCTCTTCTCTTAGCATTTTAGGATTGAAGATACATCTAACTGCCACAGACGGTTCTCACATTATGCTCATACTTTACTACTTCATAAGCTACTTCCTACATCGTGGTAGTTCCACCTGTTTTCATCACTTTCCATAGCATTTTAGTATTTTAGATACGTTAATATAATTGCCACAAACATTGCCCACACTTCACACCGCTAGCCTTTACTACTTCTTTCACCATTTTCTATGTTGTGGGCATGCTTCCATCCCTTCTCATAGCATTTCAGCATTGCAGATAAGTTAATCTAACTGCAACAAAGGGTTCCCAGTTCCCACACTCCACACTGCTCACCTTACTACTTCCTTCACCTCTTCTTACGTCGCGGGCCTGTTTCTCTCTATTCCCATAGCATTTTAAGATTGTAGATACCTTAATCTAATCGTCATAAACAGTTCCCACACTCCGAAAAGCTCGCCTTGACTACTTCCTTCACCACTTCCTACGTCTCGGACCTGTTTACCTCCCTACCCTTAGCATTATTGGATTGCAAATACCTTAATCTATTGGTTATAAACATATCCCACACTTTGAACAACATTTCCTTTACTACTTCCTTCGCAACTTCCTACGTCACCGACCTGATTCCCTCCCTTTCCATAGCATTTTAGGATTGCATATACCTTAATCTAATGGGCATAAACAGTTCCCTCACTCCAGACAGCTCACATTTACTGCTTCCTTCACCACCACCTACGTCACGGACCTGTTTCCCTCCCTTTCCATAGCATTTTAGGATTGCAGATACCTTAATCTAATCGTCATAAACAGTTCCCAAACTCCGGACAACTCGCCTTCACTACTTCCTTCACCACTTCCTACGTCACGACCCGTTTCCCTCCCTTTCCATAACATTTTAGGATTACAGATACCTTAAACTAATCGTCATAAATAGTTGCCACACTCCGAAAAACTCGCCTTGACTACTTACTCCGCCACTTCATACGTCGCGGACCTGTTTTCCTCCCTTCCCATAGCATTTTAGGTTTGTAGATACCTTAATCAATTGGTCATAAACAGATCAAACACTCCAGACAACTCGCCTTTACTACTTCATTCACCACTTCCTTCGTCACGGACCTGTTTTCCTCCCTTCCCATAGCATTTTAGGTTTGTAGATACCTTAATCTAATCGTCATAAACAGTTTCCACACTCCGGACAGCTTGCCTTGACTACTTCCTTCATCACTTCCTACGTCGCAGACCCCTTTTCCTCCCTTCCCATAGCATTTTAGGTTTGCAAATACTTTAATCTAATGGTCATAAACAGATTCCATACCCCGAACAGCTCGCCTTTACTGCTTCCTTCACCAATTCCTACGTCTCGGACCCCTTTTTCTCCATTTCCATAGAATTTTAGGAATGCCTTTAATATTACCTTTATCTAATCGTCATAAACAGTTTCCACACTCCGGACAGCTCGCCTTGACTACTTCATTCATCACTTCCTACGTCGCGGACCTGTTTTCAACCCTTCCCATAGCATTTTAGGATTGCAAATACCTTAATCTAATCGCCTTAAACAGTTTACACACTCCGGACTATCTCCTCAAACGCCTTTTCATAATCAGTAATAGAGGGTTTTTCAAAGTATTTTTGTTTGGTTACTAAACTGTAAATAGTAGAACCATTCTTTACTTTTTGCCTTGCTAGGTGTTGGTTTATAAAGTCATCCTTTGTTGGTTTGCCGAAGTGGTTCCTAAACACTACAGCTACACCTGCAGACATATTGTTTCTGTCCCCAATATCTGCAGAAATACAGTGTGCGAAGGCTGTGTCTGGTTGATCAGAAAATTGTTTAATCATCCCTGACATGTGGGCATTATTAATTTGAACATTTCTGATGTGAGAAATTGAACCTTGTTCAGTAGTAGAAGGATTTAATTCAGCAGTAAGCGGAGCTATTTTGACTTTTTGGTCAGATCCAGTATTCAAGGGTTTAGAGAGCCAGTTTGCGATGCTTTTGGATATTACTATCTTTCCTGCTTTATTTAAGTGCATTCCATTTCTAGTATAATGCTTTTTATAATTTAACAAATGGCTGAACATCAAGTACTTAACATTTTGTTTTATTGACAGGGATAATAGGCAAGAATTACAGTTTTCAATCTCAAAAAACTGTTCACCATTCTCTGGTTGTTGATAAATATAGGGTATTTCTGTCAATATAATTTTAGCCTTAGTATTTGTTATTAGATTTTCTATTTTGGACAGTACAATTCGAAAGTGGTCTGCATCTGTTCTGTTGGACCCACCAATAAGTATGATACAATCATTCTCCTTATATCTGTTGTTGCACTTCTCCAACTGTTCGACCACGTATAGCAGTGAGGCACCTGGATAGTAGCCGGATGAGACGGAGTACTGGGGCATTAGTGGAGTGAGGAATTGAGCTAAATCTCTTGCATGGCTGTCCCCTGCAATATGAAAACGGGGTTTATTTTCCATCTTAGTAGGGGGCTGTACATTTCTGGTTTGACTTACTGTATCATTTAAATGTCGGTCACGAGATTCTATTGATGGTTTGTCCTTATTTTCTTTAGTGATTGGTGGTTTAGCCTCTGTAACTATAAACTTATTAGTTCTGTATGTTTTTTTGTAGCGTTTATTTGCTCTTAAGATTCCATTTTGTTGGTCTGTGGCTTGTGGAGCTTTGAGCTTAATCAGTCCTCTTGATGTTTTACTGTGAGGATATTTTTCCGCATCATCTTCATGAAGTTCAACCAGGACATTAAATTTGTTTCTAGTTTCAGTGTGATTTATTGATGATTCAAATTCTTTCCTTGTTTTTTTTCTTCCTAATCTTCTTACAGTTTTCCATGTGTAATCATGTTTAGTTTTAGTGGTCCTGTCACATGTCTCCTCTATATGTTCATTGATTATCCCATTTTTAACAGGGTGAGAGATCTCACTCATGTTTTTGTTAACACCAGAGGCCACATTATCACAGGAGGATCCAACAAAAAATGAATTGAACCACTCATGAAGAGGCATTGCACTGTTTAATGGGCTTCTGCAGAAACATTCAGCTACCAGCTTTGTGTTAACCAAGACATTTATGCCACACTCAAAACTATTTTTCTGTTGAGTGCAGGGGATATTCACTAGAGTACTGTTATCAAAGTTGAGTTTATTCATCAGTGATAGGGCACTGGACTTATTAAAGTTTGAGTTAGAGTCAAAATGGTATACCAATTTTCTAATGTTGTCAAAAATCAAAAGGCTCCAGTGAGAGCCAGAATCATCATTGTCAGGATTAAGGCTGTCGTTCAAGCAGCATAAAACATAATTATGTTTCATAAACATTAAAGTATCCATTTCAGATTGGGCCTCTTCCTGGCTGCAATGTTTAAGTATTTGAGTTGAAAAAGGGCCAAGAAACAGGACGGAGTTGTTAAGAGCGGGATCACTACTGAACGCATGAAAGTATGATTGGAGAATGGTATCATCTACCCAACGGGCTTTGGACCATGATGCTTCATCCGATTTTAAGAGTTTTGAAACTTTTGTAGCATTTGCAGTGTCACCAGCTTCTTTTTTCGACTCTAATTCTAAAATTTTCTTCTCTAAGAGGGTTTTTTTATTCATCAGCAAATTTATCTTTGTTTTTAAATCTTCATTATCCTTCATGGTTAGCTGGAACTTAGATTGTTCATTACTAAGTTTATCCATCTCCTTTTTGCATGATTTCAATTCCTCTTTCTCTTTCATGTGATCCTTAAGTTGAGTCCTATACATCAACTTGTCATCTTCTAGCTGAGAAATTATATTATTCTTATTTTCAATTTCAGTTTTCATTTTTTCATATAAAGATTGAGTTTTATGTACGTGAACACTTTCTTGTTTATTTATTTCTTCTGTTAGGATATTTACTTTATCCCGTAGTTCCTTAATTATTTCTTCAGCCTGCTGTTCAGCCTGGTGTCTGTCATTTTTCAAGTCATGAATTTGCTGTTTTAATTTGTCATTTTCCTCAAGCAGTAGTGAGCCTGCTTCAGCAGCAATTGTAAGTGAAGTGTTTAGGTCCATCTCTCCATCAATATCAATATCTTGAATTTTTCCTTTTAATGTAGCTAGGGAATTATTGTGACTAGCCATAAAACACTGTAACCATAAATTTCTGTAGCTAGTGAGAGAGAAACATTACTGTCATAAGCTGTGTCTAGTTTATCCTCGTCAATAGTTTCCGAAACATTATCTTCCCTGCAAGTTGGACATTTCCAGACCTTAATCTCATTGCTGGACATACTTTTTACCTTTGAATACGTTATATTAATACATTTAAAATGAATCCATTTATTACAATGTCCTGTGCAAAGTATAGCTGCTTTCTTAGCATATTTAAAACAAACTCCACAGTTGCTTACTCCAATTTTATCCATCATTCAATAAATAAACCAATAATGTCAAAGTTATTCTTGGCTTAATGTAGGCAGCAAAAGGGTTATGTACAGACAAGGCCTAAAATAATTGAATTTGTCTGCAATTCATTCAGTAGTAAAAAATAGCCAAGGAATATTTAACACAAAAATAAAATATTATAACATCAAAGATTACAGCATGCACTTAAAAATAGCTGTGCACATAAAAATAGGTTATATTTTTATTTCACCCATAATTAAATTGTTCCTTTCCTTAAGATTAACTGTTTAATATTATATTGCAGGTAGGTTTAGATAGGCTCAGGAATATTGCTTGCCAACTAACAATGCCCACTGATAAGAGATAAGACCTTTTAGTCCTGCATCATTGTTGGCCTAGGCACAATGACCTTGCAGTTTATGTTGATTTATCTGCAAATCCCACATTATTACATTGATGTTCAGTGTCTATCAGTTACAGTGGTTCAGTTAATATTCACTGGAGAAGGTAAAGTGTACTTTTAGTTTATAGCTCCTATTTCATACATGTAGATTATTTACCTAAAATTCACTGTAGGTTATGTGGTGCTGTTTTATGCTTCTAAAAGAAAAATTTTCACTAAAAACTGCAGTCTATCCATTCAATTTGCAATAAATTGGTAGAACTTGAATATACAACAAAATTTTCAACATAAAACTTGTTTAAAATTTAGAAAAATATCAATTATTCAGGATCACAAACAGTCAGACTGTATCAAGTTAACCTCACTTTCAACACTTCAACACTAATCGTCATAAACAGTTTTCACACTCCGGACAGCTCGCCTTGACTACTTCATTCATCACTTCAACGTCGCGGACCTGTTTTCCACCCTTCCCATAGCATTTTAGGATTGCAAATACCTTTATCTAAGGGTCATAAACAGATTCCATATCCCGAACAGCTCGCCTTTACTACTTCATTCATCACTTCCTACGTCGCGGACCTGTTTCCACCCTTCCCATAGCATTTTAGGATTGCAGGTACCTTAATCTAATCGTCATAAACAGTTTTCACACTCCGGACAGCTCGCCTTGACTATTTCCTTCACCAATTCCTACGTCGCGGACCAGTTTTCCTCCCTTCCTTTAAAATTTTAGGAATGCAGATACCTAAATCTAATCGTCATAAACAGTTTCCACACTCCAGACTGCTCTCCTTTACTACTTCCTTCACCACTTCCTAAGTCACGGACCTCAAGCTAGTGTCGTCATTTGATTATATTTATGATCCATACCGTTTCTGTTCTAATATCTGTGGATTAATGCTATCAGCTATTTCTTTTCTACTGCATTCAAAAGTCAACAGCTGATCATATGTTTTTGTTTATGTGTCAAATATTGCTTCCATAAGGATTACATTGAAACTTTGAGACCCAGTGGGGCGGATTCCTGAGAGACTTTTTTAACGCCATATAGATGTTGGCACTCACCGATATGGTCTCTATCACCATGCAAAATTTGAAAACGATTGATTCATCCGTCTAGGAGGAGTTTGCGTATTTCAAAATGCATAAGAGTCGACGTATAAGAGCTTCGCTCGCTTCGCTCAATAAACAAATATAAATATTAAATTGGCTATAGCAAATTGTTTAAGTAGGGATTCCGGAACTAATGCCAATTGTAGACAACTTGGAGATATCTACTTTATTTGGAGATACAGGATTTATTTTACGTAAGATAAACCAGCCTAAAAAAAGTGGTCTTCATAATTTTTGTTTTGATTTTGTTAAGTTTTGGTTCCATTTTTTGGGGGTTTTGATATGAAATATTTCTGGTTTTTACCATCTCTATAGTGAACAATTGGTAATTTTAGATAAAAAGTAACTGAATCCTTCCTAATGGTATTGAATAAACTATTTAATGCATTTATTTACCAAACTACCATTGCAAACATAATTATAATTCATAAATTAAACTGTTTTATGCCAGAAAAATAGGAAAATTCTACAGTAAATTAATGTTTACGTTTGCAGAATTAGTGGTCTAAAGGTCTTTCTTTGGTCTTAAAATATTTTTACTTGTATTTGTATCTATGTATTTCTTTTTAAGGTAATATTACACCTTTTGTAGGTGGGAAAAAGTATTTGTATCATGGTTTATAAAATTAATAATTGTTGATTATGATTCCTATTATTTATTTGCAGGTTTTTGGTTTAATATCGGGAGTTATAATTGCCTGGTCCTTATTTGATGAAGATGATACATGTGAGTATATTTTATAGTATTTATTTATTTTTATATAACATTTTTTTATAATGTTCATTGGCTTAGGAATTAGAGATATTTTTTCTTGTCCATCGAAATAGCTGGTTTTTTTTTTTATCACTACAGAAAGTGGGACTACCTATCAAGGTAGAGCCTGAAAAATGATCAAACTAGTCATGGTGTCAAGTAATTATCAGTTATCTAGCTAACTAGTCAATTTAAGTTTAAACCCTTCTAAACACATTAAAAAACTACCATATTAAAGATAAATGATGATCTAACAAAAATAAAATATAAAATGATATAGAGGTGTGCTAGCCTGACATTTTCAGTCAACCCAAACACAAGGTAATATCGTGATTATCGCCAGCGGTCATGGAGATATAATCTTCTGGGATCACTGCAAGATCCAAAATGTCTTCTACAATTACGCAATTATCATCACTGTCTTTCGGGTCCGTCGATTGCGGATAATCATGAACATCTCCTGCGGCCGTTTATTCATCATCATCAACTCCCACAGTATAGAAACGTCATCGGTATCAGTATCGACGTTTGACGATTGATTCTCGATACCGATACCAGCGGCCAAGTATTGGTGGTATCGAGAATTGACACATCTCTAATAATGAATATTAAATAGTATTAACTTCAATAGAAACCTCTTAACATTTCTAGTACAACTCCTTGACAATGGCATAGCCTCCTCTCATATAAGACTGCTGCCAATATTTTGGGAATGTCACACTCTTTGATTTTTTAATAGCTTTATAGATGTATAGAACTTACTTCTTTCACTTTTGTAGTGTGTTACAGCATGTTCTCTTTGCATAAGGTATTCTTAATGCTTGTGTTCTAAAAGTAAAATAAAGGATCACCAATTAAAACAAATAATCTCATGTAACTATTAAATGATTATAGTGCATTGTAAATACAGAAATCTAATCAATGCTGTCATTTACTCCTTAGCGATCAAGTTTTACACTTAAATCACTTATTATCAAATCAACTGCCAATTTTTCAACTAAGATAATTGTGTAAGACCAAATCAAATTAAATTCCAATCAAATTTTAGGTCAGTTAATCATAATGGTTTGACCAACTAACAGGAGAAAATTGTTTAAAGCCATCTCAAAATGACACTTTTTAGAGTTTAATTGAAACTCTACTACCCATTCAACACGTCTTGTTTTGAAAACTGTTCTTGTATTGTAATTTTGTTACTGTTCTCCTAAAAAACTGTAAATGTAATACTTTGATTTACTCTTATGCGATCCTTTGTTTTACGCAGCTTAGTTAAATATTTCATGCATGTCCAAAGTTTTCTTTAAAAGGTAAATTTGGTGTGTTCTGTTTAACTTCTTGTTCTAGCTTACAGCCATTGAAATAATAACGATGGGTTGCTTGCTAAGTTTGGATTGAATTAGGTTACACATAAGGATTTCTTTCTAACTAAACAAAAAAATAAGTTCCATTAGAGCAGTTTGGAAAGATTGTCTGTTATGATTCATATAACTGCAACGGATATTCAAATTTTAGTAACTGTGTTTTTACAGGCAGTTTTCTTAATAATCACAGATTTAAAATATATTAATATTTTTGTAAATATATTTTCAAAGGGAATTTCGGCTCTTATGTAGCCTAAAAATATGTTTTAAAGCAATAAAGATACAAATTTTTTTGGAAAGAGCTATTTCCTCAGACTTTTTGCAACTTTCGCAGATGCTTGTTTATATAGAGCACTTTGGTATAGGCTGTTCTTCCTTGGTGGTAGTTACACAACTCTTTGCATGCTCACTTTGTCTCTCTTTTGTAGTTGACTTTTTGGGTGAATTTGAGTCAAAAAGCCCTCAGCATCTAGCTCTACAGCCCATGTATGTGCGCCACGCCACTGTGCCTTCTGCTTCCGACAGTCTTCTCACTCTCACGCGGAGCCTCAACAAACACCGTGCATGTCAGTAGTGCGGCACAAATGTTGACTTTGTAACACCACTAAAATACAGTACACCCTCTCTTAATTCACCCTCCCAGTATGGGGACCACCTCGGTCAGATAATGTAAGAGGTAGGATAAAACAGGCAACTATTGAAACGTGGACTTCCTGACGGTTTGAAACCAAACCCTGCTGCCCTTGATCATCAGGATTTTAAGAAAATAGCTGGTTTTATTCAGTAACAAATATACATCACACTTAATTCAACACTCATCCTTCACTCATATTTAGTTAAAGTATGCACAGATACGTCACCATCACAATTGGTAATATAACATAAAAATATTAAATGTATTAGGCCTATCAATGTAATATAAATGCAAAAGTAGTATGCAAAAGAGTCAAATAGCTGCAAAGGGTTGTCTATTTACATATCAGTATCAAATGCTCTGGATAAGACAATCTCTCCCTTCTATTCACTTTTGAATAGAGAATATTTTGTCTAGGAAAAAGCACACATAGTTGAATTTCAATCACGCTGAGAATTATTTCAGTATTTATTAATACAGCCACATATTGATATAAAATGGATTAATCATTTACAATCACACTTTAAAATTTACTTTTATTCAGTCAAGTTTCTATTTTTATTACTGTGATAAGTATGGTAACAGAAGTCCCTATATTCCTAGAAAGGATGGGCAATGACCAATAAAGATTTATAAAACCGACCAGTTTTAAAATTCAGAGCAGATAAACTGATCTTTATTTTATTTCAGCCCGGGCGAGGTGGTTAATTCTAGGCCGATTAAGAGAGGGTCTACTGTAATCTTGTATGTTATAACAATATAGTATTTCTTTGTAAATGATTTGTATATAATCTATTGTAATGCTGTAGAACTAAAGAAACGGTTGTATAGTTTATGGGTATTGCTTTGTAGATGTTCTGTAAATTGTAAGTTATATTTTGGTAGAAAACCTAATAGATAATGAAAATTGCTGGTGAAACATTTTATGGTATTTGGCTGTGATTGTAGTTATAAAAATATTTATTTTTTAGGTAAAAAATCATGTCTTAACTATTTTGTCTAGGAAAAACGATAATGTTTTAAATTATTGCATAAGCTGTACTTGCTACTTAACCTTTTAGACTGATTTTAAATTGTAATCGCCTTTTAATATATGTAAACACAACACACATCAAGATCAAGATTCGTTGATGTTGATGCTTATAAATTAATAAAAAAAAACTATAAGCCAAAAATCCTTTAATCAACCATTAACAGTAGTTGAAGTAAAATAATGTTAAGTTATTAATTTAGACAGTTGCTTTTAAACAATAATATTTCCCTGGTCACAAAAGTATGGACTAAAACAATATTCACATCTAATTGATGTGAAAGATAGGAATGTTGCATTATGATTTATATGTTTAGTCTGAAGAACAAATAGCTGCGAGGAATTAATTTTCCAAAATTGTATTTTTACTGTTACATTCAGTCCAAGTATTTTTTGTATAAAATTAATGTTTGTGGCAATAGTCCTATTTGTTAAGTTGCTTTGGACACAATGAAACCCAGATATAGTTGTTTCTAAAGTATAACACTAAAATATTTATTTTTCCCATATTTTTGACCTGTTTCTTTACTGTTACAATTGGAAACCAGGATCTTTGGACAGAAAATAACTCAATAGGTTTTTTGGACTATTAGGAACACCTCTCATTTCAGTACTTTCAATAATGTTACCATTCATTTAATTTCTCTCTATCCTCTTTTTTAATTACAGGACTGTTGAAGTTTTTTTCTCAAACTGGGTCAATCTAGATTATATGCGCATTTGCACTATTCTAGATTAATTTGTTGTTTACACCTTGGTGAAATGAATGCCAGTGGCTTTTCCATACTAATAGTTTGTTAAATCCTATCATATAATCCAACTTTTTATCCAAAGTGTTGTGCTTACTTTGTCCCATTGTAATGAATAATTGCCATTTATTTGAACTTGAGTGTAAACAAATTAATACAGTTGTGATAATGGTCGTGTTATTGGTTTGATCAGATGTTGAAAACCATTTGTTGCAATTAAATCTTTTTGTTTTATTCTCAGCACTTTTCTTCTTTTTTCCCGTCAAAAGTATTTAAATTGCATGACTTGTTGTGAAGGTTAGTTACCCTTCAAAGGATTATTCCTCTTCTATTATCTAGTGGAAAGGTTATGCTAGCAATATTTTATCAGCTGTCAGAGATTTTGTCTGTTAGTTGTTGAATTTTTTATTGGCTGAGTTGGTTAAGACGTAATCGCATTCTAAGAAAAACTTTGACAAAAAGTTAATGTCACTGGTGGGATTCGATCTGGATACCTCAGGACATCAGTCAAGTATGGTAACCACTACGCCACGAATACCAATGACTTCACTTCGTATTGTTGCGGTAATGGTGTTCCCTCAAGGGAAGAGTGACGTCACGCCCCCCACTCCTTCGCTAAAGAGGTTCTCATCGGTTTCTGACCAGGAAAATGAGACGCTATAGTCATCAGGGAATGGTTCCGTGAAAAGGTTTTTGGGCCTATTCAGCCGATCACGGAAATTCCTTGATAAGTCTCCAATGGGTTAATTACTGAATTAAGTTTGTAAAATACTGAAATTTACTTTTTATGATATTACACAAATTTGAGCCAAGACTGTCATTAAATTGTCAAAAATTACCCTTAATTTGCCCGATTAAATGTTTCTTTAAACTTATTTATAAATTGCTCAAAATATGTTGTAAATTGAAATGGTGGAGAGGGAAGAAGGGGGAGTGAAAAAATGGGTTCTGCTATTTAGAAAAATAACAGTAGCACAATATGCTGGTCGGAAAAAAAACAATATCAGAGCAAGGTATATTAGTACTAAAACTCAGAACAATAAAATAACTATACCAGTCTGGTATGGTTCTCAGTTAGAAACAAATAAATTTTGTCAAGTTCTTTTGGCCCAACTTAGACCTCCACAAGTCCGGGCAAGGCTATTTACTGCTGGAGGGTACCTGGCGTTCAATAGGTACAGCTCGTGACATCTAAGCTGGCACTTGGCCGATCGCTACTAGTGTCTAGTTTAAAAAAAATTATATGAAGTTGCTCAAGTACATAATACAAGGGGAGTCAACCCTGTGAGGCAGCGGAAATGTTTGCAGTCCGGTCTTTTCCCTACCTCCACCCTCCTCCTACCTACACTGCCTGCGCTAGGCCAAGTACCAGCTTAGATGTCACGAGCTGTTAGAGATACCAGAGAAATACAATATCCCAAAGCCATTCTATCCTCAGCCCATTCCATACAATACCTTAGGTTGGTCTGACACAGACAGTAAAATAAGAGGGAGGGGGTAGAAAGGTGGAAGAAGATCAGACTGGAGACAGTAAAAAAATTAAGGTTGACATAATATGTATTATTAAGTGGGAGGCACTTGGCTCAATAGGGATATCCCTGGTACAGGAAAAGTGTAGGGAATAAGGAGTGTAAGTAGGGGGAGTGGCTGACTGTGCAATTTGTACGAGTTGCCCATCTTCAACTCATTTATATCTGTGTTTAATATATTACATTCATAACATTATAAACTAATATAGGTATATCATCAAGGTTCAGTTTAAACTGTCATCAATAATCTAAAATCTTCTAAATTGGATTGAAAAATAGTATTATGTAAGATGGAAAATAACAAAGTATACTACTCTTGGCATCCTGCTACAGGCTCAGGCTGAGTTTGAATAATAATCCTGTGATTGGGCTTCTTTATTGACATTATTGCAAAATTAATTATTTGTATTGTTAAGAGATTTATAAATTTAATTATCTTAATACTTTATTTTAAATACTTTTAATTGAAATGGCGCCCATACAAAGGTAGGTATTTTAAGCCAAGTATGAATGGAGGTAAATGTAGGATGAGTGGCGCAATATTGTAGTCTTGTTACTGACCATGGCCGACATGTTCCTTAGACAGGACTGATAATTAATAGCCCATACAGTCAACAGCAACTAAGGGACCTACAGTTTATAGTGGAATCCGAACCACATTTTTGCCTTGTAATTTACCAACAAAATAATTAATAATTAATTAATTAATTAATAATTAATAATTAATTAATTAATTGGTCTAATTAATAATTATCAGGATAGTACTTGTGCCTATAAATATCCACAATTCGTGACCTCCGAGTAGCTGGATTATGAACGATGCCAAAATACGGCTCTGTCTGTACTGTGCCAAAGTATTTCAATCAGCCTATCACACTTTGGCAATAAGCAACAAGTTTGTTTGTTCTTTCATAATAGTATAGGGGTTTAATGGCTTCTTAAAGTCTTGAGAGAAAAATAAATGAGCAAAAACATATATATAGGTATATTTTGCAAAAGATTAAATTTTGAATTTAATTAATAAACCCTATCATTACCTAATATGAAAACACAGTATGGTATTTTTTTCAAAAAGGGAGTTTTTTGTCATTGTTTTTCTATTCAGTCAATTGTATGAGAGACTATGACAATAAAAAAATATACATATGTCAAATATATTTCTATTATTAAATAAGTCAAAGATAGGCAGAGTTTTTGCAAAGAAGTGATACAATAAGAGAAGAAATAATTAATACCCCCGCCGCAGCAAACCTGCAGACTAAGCGAATTTCAACTTGTCTGACTACATTTTTACTAAAATATTTCCATAAATAAGACATATTATTCCCTATTTAAATAACATTAGATTTAACAAGTGCTTAGGTTTGCTGTTACGGGGAAGGTAAAAAGTGTTTTTTGACCATACATCAATAGTATAGGATGAAATAAATAAATTTGCCAAATTGTATCAATATATACCCATAAACAAGTAAACTACAACAATGATCCTACTACTACGGTAATAGCTTATTCCCTATATGGGAAATTCGCTAAAATGAGCTCAAAACCTAAATATGATACTGTATACCTATGTTGTCCCTAGGTTGCTGTTTCGAACCTGAGAAAAGCCAGAAACTTTTTGATTGTTTGAAATTTGATGCAGCTGACTTTGATGACTTAGATCAGCTAATCAGCACCACTCAATTCTCATACTTCATGAATTCACCCCTTAACACACCCTGGTATTTCAGGGTTGTATGAATCCAATGTATGTTTTTCTTTGTTCACTCTTGAATCAGAAATAGTGACTCAGCACATCCATGGTTTTTAACAATTTACTTTTAACCTCTCTGTCATTTTAGCTCCACCCGGTAAAAAGAAGAAGGTGAATGAACTGCCGCCGCTCTACTCCATAGAGTACAGCATGAGACGTCCTTCAGATGACAATATTCACGAACCGGAAGGTAAGTCTGTCTGTGTTTGAATAATGTTCAAACAAATGTCTTAAGCAATTATACACACTTTAGGCATACCAACAAAAGGAGATGTAGAACAACAATTGGAAGAGTTTAGAAACACATCATAGCTGATTTTCTAGTTTTACTAGGCCTAAGGATTACCATTTTGATTTTTTTAAGGTTGATTCTTTAATAAGCTAAGATAATATCTTCTTAGTGATGTAATTGACTATAGTTAAAAGGTCTTCCTTTTTATCCATGCAATCCTTCGACCACCTACACTTGTAACAATTATTTCTGGTCGCAATATTACAACAAAGAGTTTTCAGAAGATCCTGAGTCTCGGTTGTCTTCCCCACGTCCCATGACTCCGCGGCGAGTGAAGCGTCGCAGTGTCAACTCACGAGGAGTGCCTCTACAGCGGCCGCACTCGACACATCTGTCGCACAGTCAGCGACACTCACACTCGAGGTCGTCGGCACGCTCGTCTCAGCGTAGACATCGAGTGTCCCATCCCAGTCCGGTCACCCGGCTCATAGATCAGCAGCAGAAGCAAGGTAAAGCCACAACCTTTTGTAAATGTTTTTCAACACTATTTACACCCAAATAATAAATTTGAAAAACAGTTTATTTTGGAGGATGACATAAGCTGGGTACCTTTAACGAAATTTTCTGATCAGCTGAACGTATAATGGTTGTAGTGTTATAATGGTATAGTGTTGTAGTGTAGATTGGATGGTGAAGGTTGTTAGTGTTATCCCTTGATATAAGCACCTTATTAAAGGTGCGATTCTTAACAAGATCTGCAATTAAATTCTGGATAAGAAGAAGTTATATTATTTTTCGTACAGTTACCTAACAATGTACATGTTCTCTCACTGATTTGAGAAAGCAAAGTGGCCAATTCGCTCATCAGTGAGACAATGTTAACATTGTCTCACTCTAATTACTTTGTCTCACTCCAGATTTGCAACGTGAAGGCACGAAATAGTGAGCGCGTAACATGCAGGCAACGTCGTATGCGTGCGAAATACGTTGGCAGCACTGGCTGTAAATCAGCTGGTCAGCTGTTGTACTGTTGTATTTGTCACTTCACGTTAAATGTTATATTAAAAGTTCACTTCTGTGTAAAAATAGGTTATGTTTCTTCACCAATTTATTTGTTTTATGGTAACTGTAGGAAAAGTATAATGTGCAACTCGAGTTCAAAGTACAATTGCCTCACTCGAGAAACCATTCCTCTCGAGTGAGTCAATTTCTCACTTTTCTCACTAGTTGCACAAATAACTATAACGTCTTCTTATCCAGAATTTAATTTTCATATTCATTTAATAATGTTTCAAAACAAAAGTGGCCAAATCTAAAAATCACCTTAGTGTGAGTAGGATCCCTAGCCGTCCAATTGCCATCCCATTAATCTAAACTTAATTCTTCACTCATTAGTAACCTTCCTAAACCAGATATCTTTACTACTTATTCTATAATATTTTGGTATTTTTCACTGTTACATACATTTCTTCAGCATTAAATTTGGATCTAAAAATAAGAAACTAGAACTATATAATGTTGTTTATGATATTTTAAGTGGACATCTCAAAATATATGCTTCAGAGCCTGTCAAACTTATCTGATGAACTGCAGCATACTTTTTTTTTACTAATCCTAATATATATTAAAAGTTTTTGTATATTTTTCTTTTTGTTTTTATTATTACTTAATAGGTTTCTTGGCTATAGATTGTCCCACACTGAAGAAATCCTTGTAACTTCTCCATTGAACTGAGGTGTCTAGGTGATGTAAGATGCCAACATTTTAGAGACAAATCGTAAAGTGAGAAAAAGTAGTGTTGTAAGTGAACAGTGTCTACATTGATGGAGAAGAGCAATGATGTCTGCAACACCGTCATCTTACATCGACAAGGCAACACGTTTCAACCCAGAAGTCACAGGGATTTCTTCTTTGGAAAACTGCCATGGAAGTTTACATTAGCCAAGTTTCTTATCGAGTTTAGATTATTTTATCTCTAATTCAATTATCTTAAGCTTACTTATCAACTGGAACTGTTTCTCTCAGACGTCAGCAGACTGGTGGGTCACACCAACCCCATGTACCAGCAGAGCTCAAGTAACTCGCTGGATCTTGACTGTGACCGGCCGTCGTCTGCGAGGTCTGTCTACTCCAACTACCACGGCACTCGAGCGTTCACGTACACAGCTCAACCCCCCTCCACCTTCCTCAGCCGAGGACCTCCCGCCTACTCTCCTGACAAGACTGAGACTGTCATTTGAATAATCAAAACAAATACTAGCGATAAATGTAAAAATGAGTTAGGGTAATGATGTCATCATCACTGTAGATTTTATTATTTAGTGCAAAATGTTAAACTTAAAAGTAGGCTAATTTATTTAGAGGGGAATAATTAACATGCCTTGAGAGTCAGCATCCCAAGTGTGTGGGGATGTCTCCTCCCACCTCCCTTCTGGTGACCCACTAGCGGATATCTTCTTTGCCTGTGTTTCTGACCATGGGTTAACCTTGAGGGAAACTGCTATTGTAAAAAGTGTAATTATAAAATCCTCCTGTTCGTTCTCCAACTGCTGGTAGCTTTTTAATTGTTAAAAACTGAACCTGGGGGCTGTCCATGCCGTTGGGTTTCAATGAATGGTAAAAAATGGCCTAAAACTAAAAACAATAACCAAATTTTTATTAACAATGTATTAAAACTTGTTGCTAAAAGCTACGGTATTTTAATGAGAAGTAAAACAACTAAAACCATCACTAACTCGCATCTTTTATGTAAAAGAAATTGCATTTTTAACTTAGCCAATACAAGGTTTTTTTGTTAACATTTTGTTCCTGAGAAAAGTGTTCTATTCCAGTGTGTTTTTAAATAAGACCTACGAACTTCTCTATTATTGTACACCCATTTAATAAAATCTTCAAGAAAACGTACTCACAAGGAATCACCAAAATGTATGACATAAAAAAAAAGTAATACAGCTGAAAAAATGGTAAATGTACACCTCGTTTGTACATACAAAAACCTTTATTTCCTCTTTTTTTTAGAAGAAAATATCAAAGCATAACCTTTAGCAGTGGCGTAACTAGAACATGGCTTTGGGGGGGATGGATGAGCTCAATAATAATTTAATATAAATTAGTTAATTTAATCTGTACTGATGCGTGGGATCCGGGGACCTTCCCCAGAAAATTTGGAAAATGTAGAACTCCAATCTCGTGTTTTCAGGCATTCTAGAGGTGTAATCACGTTCAATAAAGAACTAAAAAAATCAACCCAATTGAGGCTGTGTCCGGACGGGCAGATTCAGGAAATAAAGTACCACTATCGGTTAACACACACTCACTCGTTATTGTTTTTACCGACCGTCTGCCTGATTTGCAACTTATTACAGTTTCTCCAAGTTTTAGACTTGGCTTACATACCCTCCCAAGAGCCCTGACACCATTCCGAATAATAATACACATTTTACTAAATAACATCAATACTTTTCAGAATGACATGGCTTATTTAATATTTGTTACTAGTCTATACAATTTTTGTTTTGTTTTATGTTCTTTGCTTAAATGAAGGTAAACTATCATAATAAAAAGGCAAGAGGACAGTTAAAGGCCTTTCCCTTTGACATTTTACTAAACTACTACAAGATTACAGAACAGAACTAGAACACAGAGTAAAAAACTAACCTAAAAGCCAAGCCGTCTGGCGTCTTAGTTCTTCTCGCACATGCCTGCAGTATTAACCACTCAAATTTACTCCCACTGCCTGGGTGTATTCATTAAATAAATCTTTTAAAATTATTTTACTATCCAAATCAACTAAAAAATTATTGAATTAGATTAATAAAACTAAATCAAAACTAAATTATCTGTTTCAGCTGTAAACTTCACTCAACTGTATTTTAAAGAAATAAGATTGACTGTGATACAAATATTTATTTTTATTTTAGGGTTCTGGGGAGGGGGTTCTATCCCCCTCATCCCCCCCCTGTAGTTACGCCACTGACCATTAGGATTAATGAGAATTAGGATTTAACCTGAAATGGAATATATATATACCCACACACATACTAAACCGAACCTTGAAACTAATAAAAAGAAGCCTTCACATTTTTCAATGAATTGGATGAGAAGTCCACTTGCACTATTTAAAGTCAATGGTCTATCACACTTCAGTTTGTAGATCTTATCCCAAAAAAACTTTGAATATTATTTACCTAATAGCTGAAGCATTTGTCAAAAACTTGTCCTCCCAAAGACTATTTTAGAAGACTAGAATGTAAATAGTGTAAAAAGTGATTGTACATAGTTAAGAGTTTTTTATAACTACTGTTTTGTAAATATAGCAATTCTTATACAATTAAGTGATGTTTTACAATTCCCCCCCCCTGAAGTAGGCCTATTTATTGTTAATGGTTGCACTGTGAGAATCCTGGACAACTTTCAAGTAATTATTTATCTTACAATTTCTATAATACAGTTGCGCTAATTTTTTCAGGTTTGTAAGAATACCCAAGTAATCACAATTGGGCCTTGCTACAGACAGGTGAACAACTCATAAATAAATACACCATACCAACTGAAATAGGAGTGGAAACCTTGGTGTATGGAGTTGTCTAGAAACTTGTTAAAGATAGCCAAGACCCTAGTGTAATAGTTTGGGCTTGTCTACCAGATTGCAGGACTAGTTAGGCACAGTAATAGAGTCGTGGTTGCAAAAATATTTTCAAGTAATGAATTTGTTATGTTACTCATAATGGCTGACATAATCGTGCCAGACACCTGCTGTTCTCACCTAATATCTACCGATTCCGACCTAAGATACCGATTGTGCCCTAGTCTGCACATCACTACCAATGTCTGTTGATCTCTTACGTCTGTCAATCATATCCTACTCTGCCCATTTCTCCCAGCTTGGCTGAAAAATGGCTTAGTACAGCATACCAAACCAAACCAATATTTAGACCTATGCCAGATTACTGCAATCAAGCAAACACGATTTGGGAACTTGGCAGAAGTTGTTCCTTTCTTCAACTGACATCCATGTAGATAACTAATAAACAACCAAATGAAAACTTTTGGAAATATGAGAAGAAGAAGAAATATGGTTACACGGATAACATGTATGCACAAATTTTCTGTCTGACAGTCTAAACAAACTGCCAAACAGTGTCACAACTGCTCTCGCAACTGATGTCGCTCGCAGGCTGTCAAAATGTTTGACACGAACTTGCATATCTCAACATGAAATGAAATTTATCATAATTCCAGTAATAAAGAAATGTCTTAGTTGGAGAGGTTTTAGAAGGGTTTAAAATTTGGTAATCATTATAATATACACTTTTTAAAGGAAGTTTTATCTTTGTGGCTATTTTTAGTGTGAAGAAAAAATCTAGGTTGTAGGTCGGGTCCTTATAATCGACAATTATTTTGTTCAGTTTCTCGGAAAACACTTAAACAGATCACAACATTACAAAGTACATATCATCACCAGTTTTTGGGTCTATCTGTATTTTTTCTAGAGTTGGGCAAAAATATTGATTTTTAGGTTTGAGCCGAGGCAAACATTTTCGCAAGAGTTTTGAGCTTTGACTTCTTTTAGGCCAAGCCATAATTTTATGAGTCTATTACTGGCTTTATGAGTCCATATTTAAATACCCCAGCCACAGAAAACCTGCAGACTAAGCAAATTTCCATTCGCCTAATTGGATTTACACTACAGTAGACTCTCTCTTATCCGGACACCTTTTAACCGGACATCGGTTTAACCGGACTACACTCAGCGGAAATGACATCTCTTTAACTGGACAATTTTTATCAGCACATCGGTTTAACCGAACCAGATCAGCAGGAAGTGGGCGGTACTGAAACGACTGTTCTCGTGGGAAAGATTTGAGACCAGCAATCACGTGTATAAATACAATGCTCTCCTAAATTTAAGTCAAATACTGTATACATTAAGCATTTAAACGACCCGTTTAAAAAAATTTTTGGGGACGTCGGTTTAACCGGAAAACCGGTTATCCGGACTGGCATCGGTCCCGAGGAGTCCGGATAAGAGGGAGTCTACTGTATAATATATCCATAAAAATATCACATGTGTTCCCTATTTAAATAGCATTAGTTTAACAAGTACCGTACTTAGGTTTGCTGCAACTGGGAGGGTAATAGTTTTTTTTTGTAAAATGGTAATAGTTTAATATGAAATCAAACTAAATGCATTTCCCAAATTTGATCTAAATATGTTCATAAAGAAGCAAACTAACAGTTTACTTATCCTCCATAAGAATAGCATGGAAATTTTAAATTTACAATATTTTGTAATTTTTTCTGTAAACTATTAGGCACATAACAACGCTTCAATATCCTACTTATTTGGTTTGTGAGCTCTGCTAAATGGTTTGAAAAGAAATTTCAAAATTTTATGTTTATAAGGTCAAAAATGGGAAAAACCAATTTTTACCATATAAAACCCTCCATAAACCACTGTTCCCATTCCGGTTCACGAACCAGTAAGATTTTACAGTTTTCATGCAACACAGTAAAAACTCTCAGTGTGAGATATAAAAATATCTTCACCCATAAAATAATTTTTGGATTTTCTAAATAGACTACAGTAGAACCCCGGTTGACCGAAATAAAGGGGGGAAGAGCCGTTTTGGATAACCAATTTTTCAGTTAACCCACATGCTAAAAATAGCCTTTTTATTACCATGGTGTGTAAGAAAAATTAATTCAAAACAATGTCTATATAATACAGTATTTTATTTCAGCGAAAAAAAATGTTCCATGGGTTAGAAAAGCCTCTTTCTAATGAGAGGGGCTCGGCTACGCCTCACTGTTTATATATTACATATCGTACTTATTAACCTTGATTCATTTTATGGAACCGTTTTGGTTAAACCACCTGTCAACCACCTTTATTATGGGTAAGCAATGAGAGTAACTCAATAACTTTTAAACCGTAATTTTTACAGCAATGGGGGATTGCGCTATTTTGTTAATTATAAGGACCATCACATACTAATTTCAATCAAAACCGGCTGTTTTGAAAACCCGATTTCTTCACAAGTTGCCATAACTTTTGAACCGTAATTTTTACAAGAATGGGAGGTCTCTACAGTACTATTTTGTTCAGAATTTAAAGGGATACAACATACTAAATTTTTATCAAAATAGTTCGGGCCATCTTCGAGAAAATTCAATTTTTCTGTTAATTTATAAGTTATGAGGAAATCATCATTAAAAATCAAAATATCAAAAAATGAAAAAAAAACCCCTGGAGATACCATAGATTAGTAAATATAAACCAAATTTCATCAAAATTGAACGACATTTGTGGTCTGTAGCTCTGTTCAAACCCACACACACACGAAAAGACAACACTACGTAAACCACTTTTTTGGGTTCAGAGGGATCCAAAACAGATATATTCACTCAAACTTGAAAATTTTGATGAAAACAATACTTGCTCCAAATACTATGTATATGAGGAGAAAGTAATAAAATTTGGTTTACTATCAACATCAAAATGATACAATTTTTTGTCTTACAAATACATTTTATTTCCTTATTGAAGAAGATAAATAACAACCAAATAGTTTATGTATTGATAGAAACTACCCTTAATAAAAAAAGGGAAACCAAGGTAAAGAAAAACATGTTTTACAAATAAAGCAGTTTTAATGTTAAAAATGTGTATGTTTCTACTTGATTGATAACTTTTTTTAAAATGATATAACTAAATACATTTCTTGCATTAATAAACAAAGCATTCATTATTGTTAACATAATTATCTCTAGTAAGGAGGGTACCTCTGATTAGGATATCTCGGGGGAACAGCCGGCTGGTTAGAGTAATTTGGAGGGTTGGGCGTTTGAGGGTACCCTTGAGAGAAATTGTTAGCTCCAGTTTGAGGATCTCTGTAGCCATACTGATTATTACTGTAAGTGCTGATAGGATTTCCATAGTTTGAATTTCCTGGAGTCGACTGATTCCCATACCGTGGGTTTGCAATATTTTGATTCCCGTATGTAGGGTTTGATGAGGCGTTGGAAGGAGGTGCATTAAAAGAATCTCTGTTTGAACCGTAGGGATTTCCATATGTCCCAGG